TTAATTAGGCCTCAATTAAGTCCAAATAACACTTGAATTGCCTAATTTCAAGTCTTGAATCATTGAACTCAATTAGTGCCACACTTAGACAAATTTGTGCAATTTCGGTACTAATGAACAAGCACTGAGGCGATTAAGCCTTAGTCACTAGTTCACACTTAAACAATCACATTAAGGCCTAATCACATACCCTAATCACCCAACTACCAAATACACTTACTTAAGCTTCAAATAAGCTTAATTAGCCCCTAAAATGTCCAATTCTAAGTCATTAACCATTGAACTCAATTAGTACAAAACTTAGACAAAAATACACAATTTCGGTACTCAGTGAATAGTACCAGAACAGGGGCTGTTTTGGGCCTTAATCCACCATTAAAACATCTCATTAGATCCTAATGACCCATACAAAACATCACACGCGCAATTAAACCTAATTAACCCTCAATTAGGCCTAATTAACCCCTAAAAATGCACAATTAAACTAATTAAGGGTTTAGGGGTTTATACTCGCCTATTAACGACTCGGGACAACAGGAACGGGCGGTCGATCACCGACGCGCGGTAAGGATCGACGGCGGCGTTCCGGGTGCAAGCCGGCGGTCCGCGGCGACACCGGCGGAGGCGATTTGCTGCTGGTTTTGTTCTGTTTGGGCTGGAAATGGGACTATGGATGGCCGAACAGGTGAGAGGAAGGTCCAAGGGTGCTTGGGCGTGCGGTGGTAGGTGGCCGCAGCTCTCGCCTGGTATGCCGGCGTGAACAAGCACCGTAAAATGCGTAACGTGAACTGCGAACTTAAACTAAGAGAAGAAGAAGATTTTCCGGGGAAATGACCGAATGAATCTCACGAGAGAGAGAAATGGTCTGGTCCAAGTGAGTCAACAATGGGTGAGTGGATTCCAAGTGTCAAGATCTAGGGCTATTGGACAATTTTGCCCTTGATCCAATGGCTATAATTCCTTCTTATCCAATTATTTAGGGGTAAAATGGTCATTGATCCTTAACCCAAGCTGACCAGACCTGGTTTAGCCCTAACTCACCTTGGTTAGTCCCCTAATTAAATCCAAAATTCGGAATTACCAAAAATGGGTCCAAGGGCATTTTGGTAATTTTTCGGTCCCGGGTCAAAATTCCAATTTTCGCACACCCGCGTTCCATATGTGCGTGGCCAACATAATATGGCGTCAGAATCGCGAAATTCACTTTTTAAGTCCTCGAAAACTGACTGCAAAGTTTCGGGAATAAAATAATATTATTTTTCCAATTTTTGTCGATATTCCACTTTTTGGCCAAAACCACTCTAAATGTGCATGGCCACCCCAAAATGACATTGGCCGCGAAAAATAACCTCAAACGGCCTCCGAATCCGGCCTCGGTGCCCACAGGGGCAAAACCGTAATTTCTCACCCCCGGACCGAAATTCCAATTTTCACTCGTACTAACCCCAAACGTGTGTGGCCAGCGTAATATGACGTCAAATTTCCAAAAATAGTCTCTTAAGCCTTCGAAAATCGACCTCGAAATCCAAGCTCAATTCCGTGAACAAAACTCGCTAAACTTTCAATTTCAGGGTCTCTCACTAACAGGCGGCTGTTTAGGAGTTACGCGTATCGACCTAGGGCTATCCATATCGTAATGGTCTCGATCATTGATAGAATGAGAAATTATCATTAGTTCCAGAGGTCACGATCGCTCGGTTCAAGTTCAAGACTGGTTGGCCACGTGTACTTTCGGTCTTGCAGAATCACCTGCGATCCGATGGTACATCGTTGGCCTTGGCCAAACCAGATCCGTTACCTTTCCTAAGATCGGTCCATACTGGTTCATAATATTCTCTCGTCATTTCTCGAGATCGGTGCCCAATTCACGATCGGGTCCCTGGTCCACGTAGCATTTTCCTAGTTAGCCATACTCCATTGGTTAGTATCCCGAGAGTGATCAGCTCTGGGCGAGACTTACTAAAATGAAATGCGAAATATGGTCAATTTATTGATCCCGGAATTACATCGAAATTCAGGCTGTTACATTCGTGGGGTACGGGGCGTGACAAGAACACCCTCTGGTCATTAGATAGTCAAGGGAGTCTCGAAATCAACAACAAATTTGAGTATCGAAACCTAAATAGTCAATCAACAACTTGTCAACCGAATCGATAACTTTCCGGATTATTGACAACTATTCTTGCATATCGACATCTTCAACTTGAATTGATCAATAAAGCCTGATGCTCCTGCATCAATCACTCACATGCAAATAACATCATGACTACCATGTATATCTCAATAACCCCGTTTACAAATAATATGCTACAAACCTATTGACCTTTTTTCGTTTCAGCAATGGAGATCAAATGTCCATTTATAATCACTCGCAAACCCACTCATAAACAACTGTCCTTTGGTACGTAGCATCATCACTTGCAAATCACTAGTACATAACAAATGCTACATATATTTCAATAATCACATTTACGAGTAATAACAGACTAATCTATTGACATTTTCCATATAGACAGTGTCAATCAAACAATTATGTACACTTCAACATATAAATCTTCATCGTCTAAACAACATGCCATCATCATACTTATGCAAATTCATAGTCATTGAGATCAATTTTCCGTAGAAAATCAACATTTCTATAATTTGAGTAATTAGTGAAACTTTCATTTCTAAGACCAGGCCTTGATTAAATTCACCTTGATCATCAAAATTAAAACAAATTTCCTATATTTCCAGATTTCTAAAATTACATAATTGCCCCCAATAAAATTTCTCATTTTACAATTTTTTATCCCTAACTTCCAATCTTCACTGTGAATAGCCCCCAGAATTTCCAGCTTTTGGATATTAGTTCCCTAGCTTGGTGAAATTACAAATTTGTATCTAAAGCTTCAAAATCAGTAATTTCGAACCGATTTGATTTCCTTTAATTTATCTAACTTAGTAAACCACTAATTAACACTTAAAATCATAAAATATCACTATTAAAAGAGTCCTATTGGTTGAGCAATGATGATATTGTCTTGAATTTGTCAACCTTCGATGAGTGCAAAGACAGGCAAAGTACACAATAGAAAACTCTAACGAGCAAATAGGTAAATCAGTAATAATCCCGTCGACATCTCAATATAATCACGGCTAGGTTTGTGGAAGTAGACGCAAGTAGCTACCAGGATTCAGTTAGTTGTTGTTTGCTCCAAAAAATGATTTGGTCGTAGACATGAGCAAGCATGTCCTTGACACGTGAGCATGGTCAGTCACATGAGTAATATGTGAGTACGCATATCTTGTCGACGAGAGGTTGATATTTTGTTGATTGGTATTGATAAACATTGGTGGCACGTGGTCAATTATCAATGCATGATGACAAGATACCAACAACAATCGACATAGATATTGGCAATGGGCAGACAACATAATGCCATCTGAACTCTTTGAAAGCATGAGAAGCATATGTGTATAGCAACTCATTCGAGATGAAGCAATTGGGAAACATGAGAATAATCGGAAGGGATACGCATAAAGAGACTAGAAGCACAAGCACAAAACAGAGCAATTGGATTTGAAGATGAATGTACGTACCTGTCTGGAGGGAATAGTTACCATTTGAAAATAAAATTAGGGGACATGTCATGATTTGGAAGACAAGATCATGGAGTGGCAAGATAGTGGGACAGTTACCGATGAGCAGTTTCAGTCATCATTCAAGAACAGGTGTATGGACAGTTATGGGATCATGGATAACCATTCAAAAATGGAATCAATGGAATCAAGCGCTAGACTTTTGGAGTTGAGAGGCACGCTAGGAACTGTATGAAAGCAGTTACAACTAGATCATTATAGATACTACTAGTCGTCTACTAAAAGACTCCTGCATAAATCAAACAAATTTATTATCTTTCAGTACTTTATTTTCCTACATTGCACTTTATTTCCATAGCCGTAGCTTTTCGATTCGAGCCATCGATTAAACTCTAGCATGTAATCTCTATCCCGCATGCTGTGTTATCAATTGAATTACGGCATAGTGTCTGTTGTGTTCTCAAATGTACCGTCAATTAAATTCCAACATAATTTGTTTACATTTGGTTGTATTCTCGAGTCTGTATTTTCCGAGTTATGTCCTCAATTAAATTTTGACACAATTTGCATCTATACAGTCCCATTCTGTATAGAGTTGTCGATTCCCACATTCACCTGAATATTTCCTGTCCGGAGTCAGCACAGCACCTTGGTCTCCTTTAATTAAAAGTCGAAGAACAATTTTCGGTGAAAAATATTTCATTGTGGGAGAAATTAGGGCAAAACAGTCGCCCAAGTTGCTCATCGCCATTCTTGCAATTGAGCTTTGGTTAATCCCAGTCACGGCCCACCCCACAATGTAATGTTCAGTTTTTGGTCTGATACAACTTCATCTTGTCCTTTTGGCCACTAAGTTTCATTCAATTTGTGAAAATCAAATTTAAGCCGTTCTCCTTTAGCCACCTTCAATTGTTTGGTCAGGTCCTCTATTTCCGCTTACGTCGCTACCAACTTCTTCTCTATACTCTCAACTTCCTCATCTAATTTGATAACCACCGGATCTTTCTTTCCTTCCAATTCCGCCTCAAAAACGATGTAGAACTATTAGAATATGTAAGATAAGTCATCTCGATAGTGCTTTATAAGTTATCGTGAAAACTAGTGGCTTCAAGGAACCACATTTTAGGATAGATGGTCATGTGCATTTCAAGAGATAATTAAGTAAATCGAGTTTAAGGTTTGGATCCTAATTGTTGCCTAAAATCTAAGTTGATCCATCACGAGCACTCGTCACGAAAAAAGTAAGCAAGCTACATTAGTGAAAGATCGTATGACATGACACCTTCGTTTTGACGGAAGTACTACATTGAGCTCAATTTTTTGTTTGGACAAATTTTCTGAGCTCAATTTGAAAAGTCGAGGTACGCGATTGAATTAAAGAAATTTGAGGTAATCGATTGAAATAAAACAAAGAGGGTATGTGGATTAAAAAAGGAAAAACAAAAAGAGAGGATAGATTTTTGGAAGCACGCCATTAATGGGAAAAAGAAAAGACAAGTTCAACCGACCCTCGTTCGCCATTTGCTGCCCCGTTCTTGATCCGAGCAACAATCCTCGTCCCGCCGCTGACCAGGTTCGTCGATCGAGACTTGATCTGTTCTATTTACTTCAGCTCAATTCCTTCAAGATCGCTCCGCAATTGTCGAGGGATTTTTGAATCGATTCTTGCTTTGCCTACTGATTTGAGTTACCGTAGATTCCGCGAAACTGCTTGTGGGGTGTGATTTTTTGCTTCTAATAATCGTTGGTTAACGACGAGAAATGGAGGGTATTGGCTGAAATTTGAAAGTTTTCCCTTTTGCTCATGGAGGGAGATGAACTACGATGACCTAGACAGGGAAAAAGAAGGAAATAGGAATATCAGATGATGAATTAGGTTATTCTAGCGACGTGGGTAGAATTTGCAGGATGTGGGCTTAGTCGGTAGCTGTTCGATGAAAGTATGCGACGTAGGAGTACTAGTAGATGGTTTGGTGGAGCTCAGATTGATGGGTGTTTGGCTCAGTGCACAAAGAAACACTAGCTGAAGGATTAAGTTCTGTTAATTTAGTTTCAACTGACCACTGCTGAGGATGGGAAGGAAGGAAACTAGAAAGTCACTTGCTGCTTTAACTGTTAGCTTCTTGCTTGAAAGGAAAAACTGCAAGTCTGCTCTAGAGTCTGCTAGTTCTGTTTTCTAAATGACCCGTATGGTTGACTTGAATTGCTTCAGTCATAGTGGCCACGGTAATAGAGAGAATCTAAGGGTTGTCTGAAATGAGTGGGTATAATGCGTAAAGCATCGGTAGGTGACTTGTTAAATCCACTGCCAAATCCCTGGGCTCTCTAAGAAGTGGCCTATTGTTGCTTGCTTGGGTTTGCGTGTAATGAACTGGCTCGAGATTGTGCTAAGAAATTTTTTTTATTTTCGATCTCATTTGCCTTCGGCCTGTTTCTATGTACAGAGTACAGTTTAGGGAGGAATAATACACTACTGATGTACCTTTTTAAAATGAATTATTTGCTAAGTTCTCTCTTTTTATTTGTATGCATAGCTATGCTCTGACTCATATTTTCCGAGTTTTGTCATTTCTGATTTGTTCTTTTTTTTAATTATTTTGAGAAATGTGAGTTCTGAACTAGATATTAAATAAAGGTTTTCGACCATCTAATTTTTCAATGTCTTTACTCTGTAAGATATACATGCGGTTGGACATGTCAGTTAAGTTTACTTGTCGATAAGTTTGGAGCATGTCTCACTATAATTATCTGCACTTAAAAATTGAACTATCTGGCTAGTGGCTACCACCAGTTGAGAGCTTAATTTGGTCTTGAATTCAATTTTTGTACATGTATTTTCTTGTGTCACTTCACAAAACCAGTAAAAGATTGTCCTTCTTCTTCTATAGCTTTGGTGATTTCTGTTGGGGCACTAACACTAGACCGGTACAAACCCTCTTGTCCGAACTAGCTATTCTCAAACCAATCATATGATATCTGCTATCATTGCCTATGATAATCTTTTTCGAAGTGATAGAAGTGATTTCCTGACAGTTAGGTTGCCAATAGTAGGAGAAGCTTTAAGGCTGCTATTCCTGACCTTAGGAATAAATAGAGTTAGGCCTTTACCAATCTATTCTAGTCATCCTTTCTCCAAACGTTGTCCATATAAGAATCTAGTGAATATAATGCCTAATTCCAGCGATATTTACATTTATATTTACAATTATGGTGGAAACTTGCACGTGTGGTTCTGGCTGGGCTTTGATCTTCTGAATTAATTCTTCCTTGTTCGTTTTTTGGAAATGGAAATAAAGAATGCTTTTTTTCTGTTGATAATGAATTTCTATTAAATGGTCTAGTCTGTGGAACCGGTGAACCACATGAGCTGCTTAGGTCTTGGATCCTGCCTAACTATAGTTATCTGTATCAAGAGTTTAACTATTTGGCTCCAGCCAATTGAGGAATTGGGTTGTCTCTGATTCTCCTTTTCATTTTCTGCATGGTTTTTTTTCATACTCAGACTAAAGATATTTACCGTAGCTCTTAAGCTTATCAATTTTTACATATTCTCCTTCAATTGGAATCCTTTTCAGATAGAAAATGTTTTGTGGAGTCTTTATACTTGAACTTCTATGCTTGGGCCTTGATCGGTAAATTATTGTTATGCGATGCATCAATTACTTGCCTTCTCCAAAGAAGGTGTTCTAATGCCAAGCCTCTTCTGAGGACCATCAGGGAAGATTCTGGTTTGCAGCCTCTTGCTTGTTTCCATTCCCCAAATTACTCTGTCAAGCTGCTGTAGTCATAGAAAGCTCGATCTAAATTACTTGCTTGGATTACTTTGGCTTAAAAGTTCAGTGGACTAATATTTAGCAGGTTGAGCATAAGTTCCTTTCTAGCGGGTTGAAGACAAATATGTTTGAACTGTTTATTCCAAATCTGTTTCCTATGTTGGAGTTTCTCTGTTTATTCATCGTGACCTTCTGGTGATGAAGACGGTAACTTATAGAGGTAATGAGGACTGTTCAGTAATGACTTAATTCGCTTGTTGAGCCCTCCTAAAACAGACCTGTTAAACTAATCTTTTAAGTGCATTTATCTTGAATCCTTTGTTAACTTTTCATTTGTCTTCATTTTTTCTTGGCTAATTGACCCTGCGTATTCCCTTGATTTACAGTGCATTTTGACAAGTATCCAGTTGGTTGAGCATGCTCAAGACTTTGCCTGTTGGTATGCTATCGATCATCTTTGAGTAGATATCGGACATGCTTTGTGAAGTGGAATTGGTCAAGTATGTCTGCCCTGGTGAGCCAGACAGTAATGGATTGATTTCTCGAAGGTCAATAATAACATGCCTCTTGAAGTACTTATTACGGGAAAAGGCGAGCAAGGATCATGGCTACTTTCTGGCCATAACATCCATTAAAAGCATCAGTTCAAAAGTAGTCAAGGAGTTCCGGTATCCGTGGTTCCGTGTGATATTCAAATGCCGCACTTTCATGCCTTTCCGGGGAGAAATCATGCAGGGGGTTGTGGACCGCGTAACCGGGATGGGTTTGTTCCTCAGAAGCGGACTTATAAAATGTGTGTATCTATCAGCTATTAAAATGCCGGGTTACAGCTTCATTCCTGGAGAAAACCCTTCGTTTCTCCATGACAAGCTCGGTAAAATAGAAGCCGGCATTGTGGTTCGTTTTGCGGTGCTCAGCGTTAGATGGATAGGGAGAAGGTGGGATGCAAGGAATGAGTTTGCCATCCTCGCTAGTATAGATGGAGAGTCTCTAGGGCCTCTTCCGCTGGTTCGACCTGATGACGTCGAATTGTAAATAGTTTTAGAAATAGGATTGCTTTCGCGTGATCTCTATTGAGATCTCGGAATCGGAAAAAGTCGAATGGTGATTCCTGTGCTTTCTTTAAGCTTCTGAGATCTGACCTTTTTAGTGGGATTGTAGTGTTTGAGGCTTGTCATGGCATGTCTTCAGGTCAGGGATGATAACGGATACATGCTTTAACAATCTCACCCAGCTTTGCTTAATGCGGGCATTGGGTGTTTAATTGTACTGGCGTTTAAGAACAGAGGAATTGATAGATGTCGGAATTTTCTTTCAGGACAAATTACAACGCTCAAAATTTCTCGCTGTTTGCAAATTAGATGTGCTATTTGAAATTTGGTACGAGTATAGGGCCAGGGAATCCTCCAGGCCCTTGTAGATTTATGAGGTTACCAAACAAACACTCGAGTGCATTTCCTTTCAAATAAGGATCTAAAGCGAACTCATTTTCTCAAATATAACTCGGCGTGGATTTTGTTTTAAATAATGACCTGAACCGATCAAGTTAATGTCAAATAAGGGCCGGTGCTAGCTGGCCAAATGTTCGCCTCGGGCAATTGGAATGGGGGCAATTTTGTCCGAAATTTGTAAGTTTAGCTTATTCCTTATTAATTGTTTACGTTTTCTTCCTCTTGTTCTTCTACCCCGCTGCTCCTCAGCCAAATCGCTGCCCGGTCCTCGCCTGCTCCTCGCGAGCGCCAGTCTACGGTTCGCCGTCGTCTCTTCTTTCCAAGGTTTTCGTTGTCCACAAAAGCTTCGCATTTGCCCTAAAAGGGGTGAAGGTCTCTCTCTTCTTTTGGACGGCTTGATTGAAAGATTTTGCATACACTGCCCTCCTCTCTCTATCTCTTTCTCTCTTTCTCTTTCTCAGGGCACGTCACTTCTCAACCCGTTGCAAACTTTCGCAGCTACAGTCTCGCTCTCGCTCTCTTGCTGGGTTCGGTGAATTCGGACGTTTTAAGGTAGTTTCACGTTTCAAAATCATTCCTTTTGTTCTTGTTCCGCTTTTTTGTTCTGTGGTTTTTCTTGGGTCCGGTCGGTTACTTCCTCCGGTGCGATGGCTTCTGCATGCCCTTTTTCTATTCTTCGGTTCTGCTGCTTTTTGTCGGCAATGGAATGGCTTAGTTTTGCGACTGTTCACTAGGGGAGAGCACCGTCCCGGTCCGACCCAGGAGCGGGACGCCCTCGGTTCATCTCTCTCGCTCTCGCCGCTCGCCGTTCAGGCTCGTCACTAGTGAACAGGTGCACGCGAGAACACCTTCCCTCACGCAAGGAAGCCCTGTTCTTTGCACGCGAGAACGAGGTGCATTTCTTGGTTTTTTGGGTTTTATCTTTCCTTATGTTTTGGCGAGGCCGATTGTGGTGTTGAGGATCTGGGGAATGAGTCTGAGCTTTGAGGTTTTGCGGGTTGATCGCAGGCAAAAGAGGGAAGGTGTTTTTTGTGTATCAAGTGGCGGTGAAGTGGTTCTTTGCTTGGCTCATTAGAATTGGTAAGCTGTGACCTGTTCATTTTGCAACGCTGGAAGTCTGGAGGGCTGTTTTTTTGTGAAGAAAAAAAAAAATACAGCCAGTCCCAGTCCACCTGGTGACCTAACTGACCGGTCCGGTTCCTGGACAGACAGGGTCGGTTCCCGATTTCAGGGTGGGTAACCGACCCACCCTGGAGTCGAACACCACTGCTGTTAACTCGGCGCATTTGTCGATGAGCTCCATTAGTGAGAGTTCCTTCTTTAATAGAGATTGAAATGCTTCTAATATGATGATGGGTTTGTGGGATTTTGATTCTACTTAAGTTGCTGCTCATTGAGGATGAGTGGACAATGCTTCATTCTTATCGGCTGACTTGCTTGGGTTATGTCCATTTTGAGAGCAATTGCTTGTAATGATATGAATTCAGGTGCCAAGGTAAGCTAGGCAGTGAAACCCTTGTCCCGTCTGTGGCAAAATGAGTTTGGCGAGAGAGGCTATAAGTGTACTCCTTGTGGATTTTCCTATAAGTCTATCTCTTTCTTGAGGCTGTCAGTCTGTATGCAGTGATGAGTCTTATTTAGCAAAACCAGTAAAGAATCTCCGGCTTTTTCTATAGCTTCAGTGATTTCTCTCAGTATTATGGCTTTGCTTGTTCCAAGTCTTGCCTATTCTGAGTTCAATATTTCTTTTTTTCTTTTTACTTATTCCCTTTCTAAGCTAGCAATGTTTATTTTTTTAATCTTTCAAAATTTATGCATTTCATCCAGTCATATTATCAGGTTTGCTTTCTCACTTTCTGTACACTTTTACGTATATATGCTTCAATTGCGTACTCAAAACCGTGTGCAACTTGTTTTTGAGTAGAAGTGGTATGCTGGAAGGTATGCCCTGAATTATTATCTGTTCTGTCCTGAAGTGTGGACTTTTACCATGATAATGATTCCAGTGTCATCATAATTTTCACTGTACCATGTTCTAAGTTATTGATGAGGCTTCACAACCAAGCGTGCATTGGTAAGTATATCTCTAGATGAATGCAAAGGGAAAGTGAAAAGATGTTGGAGGGAGAATTGATAAGAAGAAAAGTAGCAAAATGAAGTAGATAATTCCTTTGGATGATTATACTGATAATGATGACTTCATGGTACTGTTAATTGTGATCCTCTGGTGTCCATGGTTGCTGTCTAATTTTTATCTTCCTGATCTATTGTATTACCGGAGCTGTCTTATCATCGACAAATTTTGTACTAGCATTGCCAATGTGGACCTTACCAGGGGCATGGCCACTTATATATGCTATTGCATCGCATGTTATTCCTGCTTATTTATGCATTGTCGTTGACTTCCATTTGCTTAGTTGGTCCCGTCTCTTTAAATTTTGTCAAGTCCTTTCCTCCTCAAATTTGTATAGGTCTATATTTATCGGAGTTGTGGACCAAAGAACACACACATGGTCTCTCTCTCTCTCTCTCTCTCTCTTCTCAACATTGCTTGATTTTACTCCTGTCTCAAGTTTCAATTCTACATCCTAGCTCTCCCAAGGTATGATTCATGAGGGTCTAGCAATCCAGTGATGTAAAACTCGCCATACTTTTTGAGATGATCTCATTGGTTGGATTTTGTTGACAAAAGCTCCAATACCTCAACTACTGTGCATGGGTTGTGTTGATTACATTTTGTTCAAATGTCTAGAATTAATCATATCGGAAGTTGAGAGCATCCAAGGGTATCTTATTGAATGTGGTAGCGTCATATTACCAGTTCATTTAATGATTAGGTTGTTGAACTTTGCACTGTCATGTCATGATCTTGAACTTTGTGCCATCAAATGGCTCTTCCTAAAACATTGCAGATTAAACTAATCCCTCTGTTAATGTTCATCAGATAGCATTCGGAAATGTTTCTGAAGGTGCAGTTGCCGTGGAACGTGATCATTTCGGCAGAAAACCTGGACGCAAGGGGACTAATGCTGCAAAGGTCCATCCTAATACGCCTCTTAGACGACTTCGCGTGTAAGAAGGCAACAAAGGACCTGGGTTATTTCCTTGCTGTGATGACCCTGGAAAGCATCGGCGAAGGGAAAGTGAGACAACATTCTGGAGACGTCCTTTTCCCCGTGGTCTTCAGCGGCATCACCTTCAAGCTTTTCCGGGGAGAAATCCTGGACGGAGTCGTGCACAAGGTCCTCAAGCACGGGGTCTTCTTGAGATGCGGGCCTGTCGAGAATGTCTACCTCTCCAACTTGAAGATGGCTGACTACAAGTATGTGCCTGGGGAGAATCCTGTCTTCCTGAACGACAAGCTTTCCAAGATTGGTAAAGATGTGACTGTCCGATTCATGGTGATCGGAACAAAGTGGCTCGAGGTGGAGAGGGAGTTTCAGGCATTGGTCAGCTTGGACGGTGATTTCTTAGGACCTGTTTCATAGTAAGCTTGTCACATAACTGGCATGTCTCTATGATGCGGTTTCCTCTGTAAATGAATCACTTTGAATGGGTTCTTCTATTTTCTAATGGTTCTGCTGGTTGTGACCTGTGGAGGGAGTGGCATACCGCAACCTGTTCAACTAGCTTTAGCTAGTTAATATTTTTAAGCATTACGGTCAGATGCCACCGGACCCGTTAATTCACTCCGTTTATTGACTGGCTTTAGCAAGTTAAACAGTGATGTTTGTATGATATGCGGTGGTTCAGATTCCCCTCCTTGATGTTCTGTATGTTCTCTTCTCAGTAGTGATCCACCTGTGGTTTCCATGAGTTTCCTTTCTAATGAGGTACTTTGATGATGCATTTGCTGCGGACTAAGGGGTGGCTCCTTTTATAGGAGCTTGTTGTATGGAGCTGACCTGTTTCTTCGTCGTTGTTACCTGTTTTGGTAAACCGACGGTTCCTAGATTAGCACATCGACCGCCTCTCCCCTGTTGAACCAGTTTTACACCTGTAGTGGGGGAACATGTCTGAACATCAAGGATTTGAACCTGACGGCTATTTGCCCGCTTCTCCAAGTCCATTTTCCTTACCTTTTCTCCTCATTGCTGCGACCTTCTTGATCCAGTCTCTTCTAGAGTTCAATTTACTATCATATATGCTTCTGTCGGGACCGAGATCGTGGAGTGGAGACATGGAGGCGGTGGCGGTGGTAATAGCAGTTGGGTGGTGGTGGTGGTAACGGTCGTCGACAACTCTTTAATAATGCATTGGAATCATGAGTTATTTGAATGAATTTGGATTAGATTAGGGTCGAGCACCGAGTGGCCGATTCGATTCAAGAGATATGTGACCCAGCACATGATCTATTCCATTCATTAGCCAGCTTTAACAGAAAAACTAGAAGAACAAATTATGTCAATTTTCTCTAAATTCGGGAAAATATTATATGGGTGTCTAGCGAGACTAATCTCTTATTCGGCTATAGGCAAATTTTATAATGAGAGAAGGACCTCTCGCGCGGGACAAGGAAGGGGAATGCGAGTGCAGCGTCGCTTGGAGCTCCTCTGCAAGCTTCAAGCAAGAACCTTTTCATCTCGCTTGGAGGCGGCCCACTACGATCGCCTCCTCAAGAACTCCCGCGGCGATGCTCCCTCGTTGAAGCAAATCCACTCTTCTCTCACCACGTGCGGCCTCGTCGCGCAAGACCCGCACTTGAGCGCTCAGATCATCATCAAATACTCCAAATTCGGACACCCAGATGATGCGCGGTCCTTGTTCGACGGAATTACTGCTAAGTGCGGGAGACCCAATTCGTTCCTGTGGAATACGATGATGCGGGCGTATGCCAATAATGGGCATTGCGCGGATGCCTTGGAGCTTTATGCCCTTATGCGCAGAGGTGGCATCTTGCCCAATAACTACACTTTCCCTTTTGTCCTCAAAGCGTGCGGTTCCCATTCGAAGCCGCTCGCGCGCGGTTGGGAAGTTGTTCATGGGGAGACCGTGAAAACTGGGTTTGATTCCGATATGTATGTGGAGGCGGCCTTGGTTGACGCATATGCGAAACGCGGGCAAATCAGTTATGCGCGCAAGGTGTTTGATGGAATGACGCAGAGGGACCTCGTTTGTTGGACCACCATGATTACTGCCTATGAGCAGGCTGAGCAGCCTCAGGAGTCACTGATGCTACTTTGCAGGATGCAGCGAGAGGAGAGTCTTTCGCCTGATCCGGTTGCTGTGGTTAGTGTTGCCTCCGCTGTTGGGCAGGTGGGGGATATTACGAGTGCTAAATCAGTGCATGCGTATTCCATCCAGAATGGGATTTTGGGGGACGTCTGTGTTGGGAATTCAGTTGTCGCAATGTACACCAAATGCGGGAATCTGGAATTCGCGCGCATGGCTTTCGATAGGATGGAGGACAAAGACAAAATTTCTTGGAACTCCATGCTTTCGGGATATGTACAGAATGGACAGGCCAATGAAGCTCTGTTGCTGTTTGAGCAGATGCAGGATTCTGGGTGTCAACCTAATCCCGTGACGGCATTGATTATGGTATCTGCATGTGCTTTCCTGGGATCCCGCCATCTTGGGAAGAAGATCCATGACTACATACTCGAGAATGAGATGAAAGTTGACATAACACTGCAAAATGCACTAATGGACATGTATGCTAAGTGTGGGAACTTGGAAACTGCTAGTAAGATGTTCTATGAAATTCATCTAAAAGAACGGGATGTTAGCTCATGGAATGTGCTGATTTCAGCATATGGCATGCATGGGCGCGGAGAAGAAGCATTGAACCTCTACTTGCAGATGCAAGAGAAAGGTGTTACGCCGAATCACATCACTTTCACATCCGTTCTCTCTGCATGTAGTCACACCGGCTTGATCGATGAAGGCAGAAAGTGTTTTGCAGATATGTCAAAGCTTTCTGTCACGCCGGAGGCGAAACATTACGCTTGCATGGTTGACATGCTCGGGCGAGCTGGACTCTTGGATGAAGCTTTTGATCTTATCAAAAGTATGTCGGCGTCACCGAATGATGGCGTTTGGGGAGCACTCCTATTAGCCTGCCGAGTTCATGGGAACAGTGAATTGGGGGAGATTGCTGCAAACAATCTCTTTCAGATTGAGCCAGAACATCCAGGATATTATGTGCTCTTGTCAAATATATATGCTGCATCAAGGAGATGGCAAGAAGTTGGGAAGCTGAGAGAAAACATGAAAACTAGAGGACTAAGCAAACCTGCAGCTTTTAGCGTGATAGAATTTGGTCGAGAGGCAATAGGATTTCATACGGCCGACCAGTTAAATCCATACGGTGGTGAAGTTTACAGGCATATGGACCGGTTGGTTGTTGAGATGAAGATGAGAGGGTATTTGCCGGACCGGTCGTGCGTTCTTCATGACGTTGAAGACGAAGACAAGGATCACATTCTGAATTATCATAGTGAGAAGCTTGCAGTTGCATTCGGAATAATGAGGACAGATCCGGAATCAGTGATTACTGTGAGCAAGAACCTTCGCATTTGCAATGACTGTCACTCAACCTTCAAGTTTCTTTCGGACATATACCACAGGCGGATTGTGGTGAGAGATGCTAACCGGTTCCATCACTTCCAAGCTGGCTCTTGTTCATGCAAGGATTACTGGTGATCTACCACTGTGAACTTGAGTATGCTTCATCTGTTTAAAAATGGACCTTGAACCCCCTCCGAGACATCCCTTTGATGCATTACTCTGAAGCGGACAGATTCCCAATTCTTGCTGATGCAGAGGGATTGAAGTTTCATCTAATGGAGAGGTATATTGAGGACCCTGTTGCGCCATTATCTTCACATAGACCTCTACAAAGAGCTTGATAGCATGTTGATATTCGAAGGGTCAGAGAGATTTAAAGGTTACTGCATGTATCTTGGTGGCTAGTGGCGACCCTTGTCTGACCACCTTTTTCTGGCCACCAAGGGTCGCGTAAGCTTGTCCTCTCAGCGCATTAGGTAATCCAGTTTTGTGGGCGAAATCTGGGTTTGGATTAAATGAACTCTTTAAGAACAAAATTGTATTTCTCGACACGTCGAAGGATGATTGATTAGCTTTAATACAAAGACGAGTGCTGGTGGTCGTTCTAGCCCTGTGCGAAACCGTCATTAGAAGATCTGGACAGAGTGAAAAAAGTTGTCAGAATTGGGGGTTCTCAAAGTCATTGTAACCTGATGTCTAACATAACAGAATGAAGATTCTCTTCCCAACCTCTTCGGGGGATGCTTTATTCAGATTTCTTGGGCATAGATGATGTCTTCCTTCGCTTCTGTCATGAAATTAGCCAATGCGAAACGTTTTCGGTCATCTTTAAAGCGCTCAGTCAGCAAGACTTGTCAAGAACTTTGGCCCTAGATTTCTTTCTTCTCCTTTTATCTATGCCATTCTCCACTTGATCATCGCAATTCACCTTGATCTTGATAAATAGTGCATCACTTTGAGAAAGATTTACCTTTTGTAATGTTGCTGTTAGTGTTTCGCGCTTTTTCTAATCTTGATCTTTTGCTCTACGGGGTCGATTAGCATCCTGCAACTATCCTTTTGTGACTTTGTTATTCTGCCAAGGCACCTTTAAACTGCAGCGATAAATGTAGATCTCACCTCAAGCTCAAAGCTTGTGCGCAGCCATGGTTTTTCAGTCGATCCATCTCGGTCCGAAGGCCGAACACACAGTTTTTCAGCTAACCACCAACCAACACAGATTGAAGTTTAACCCACATCATTCTCAGCAAATTTATAGAAATCGAAATGACATTCTCCTGTTAAACGTTTCCTCCAAATTGATTTAACTCTACAGGTCTCATCTCATTCATCAACAAAACAAGCTGTAACACCATAGATGAGCAACAATTATAGACCTTTACAAAATGTACAACAACCTTATACCCGCAGCGAATGCAAACCTGTACCTACGCCTACCAATACATGATCTCACCATTTGCCTACAAAACTAGTATGCAGTGACATTTCTCCAAGCAAACAAAACAAAAAAAATAGCCCAGAGAGGGAAGGAAGGAAAAAAGGAGGGGAAAATTACCCCTGAACTGCCAAAGCCTGCAAGTGCTCTATAAAAACTTGCAAGCTCAAATCATCAGTCAAAATAACATCCGACCCGTCGGTGTAGGTGGAGTTCTGAGTAACTGATGGGTTCAACTTAGCAAGAAGAAACCTCGCCTGACTACCGTGCTGGTCGCATTTTATCAGCTTCGGTGGCGGAACTCTTTCAGCCACCAACTGTTCCGCATCAATTTCTGGTGCCTCCAACAACTTCCTCAGATTCTCATGGTTTGGGTCTTTATCATAGCCAAGCTTCCTCCACTGGGCAATCTTAGACCCATAATGAATAACCACATAAAAATAAGAATCGAAAAGTAATATAACGTCGGGAGAGATGGACCGCACATCTAGTAGAACCGGAACCGGGGGCCCTTCAAACGAATACTGGAAAAGTGTGGGCTGGATCATGATAAGAGATCCCACTACACCCTCACGGTTAAGCATCAGTCTAAAGAAAACTGCCTCATCTGGAGAACTATTGAAAACATCTATAAACTGCGACCGCCTCAAATAGTACATGAACTGGGGATATAGTGAGAAGTTTGAAGACAAGCGAAATGTAGATGGATCTTCCTGTATGTAGTCTCCAAACTTAGAAGCGAAACGGATAAGTGCATCATCCAACCATCTAATCACATCTCGAGCATAGCAGCTC